CCTTCATAGTGGACTTGTACTGAATGTATAACTCATCAAAAATTTCACTAAAGTTTCCTTTAAAATAGGTACTTTCCTTTTCTTCGTCTTTAGATATTTTTAAAATTAAACTTTTGTGTCCTTCCTTAAAGTCCCGCCATAATTGTTCTAAAACTTCTAATCGAGTTTCTATATATGGTATTTTTATTCTGTCTTTCGGTGATTTCCTATAATTCTTTTCTGCACTTCTTAATGTCTCCAACAACTTAAATTGATACTCAAAAAGACCCTCCATCGTACACTATGACTTTGAGCGTAGTTCGTAATTATCCGATTACTCAGACCCACTGAAAAAACTGAACACAGCCCAAGGTAAAAGTACTTCACAGTATGGTGTATATATAACGTAATTTATTTCGTTTTTATAAGTTAAATTCACTTTATAATGTTATTATAACACTGTAATGAAACACTGATCACACAAAAATCCTTCCAACTATTCCTTATCGCTTAGGAATGCGAGTATCTATTGTTCTCAATGTTCGCCAACTATCGAACAATAGCGAAGTTATCCGGCTCGATTTTGGACCATATGTTAAGGAGTTATAGTTGAGAATTGATCACTAATTGATTGAGGGTCTTGAATTAAATAATTGCAATAATAACACGTGCGAATCGTATGACACTTTTATTTTAACTGACTAAGAGTAGTGGACTGTATACATATTTGGACACAGGTGTTATTTCCATTTGCTCCGTGTCCCCGATCGGTGGGGCACCAGTGGCCGTTTTGTTCGCGGTCCACGTCCTTCTGGGCATCTTTTTGCTGGGGGCCGAACACGCGTTACCCCCCAGTAGATGGTTTGCTCTCTGGCCAGCCGCAGCACACAGAACGCATTGCGGATTTGCAGAGCAACTCCTGCTCGGTGGTCAGATTGACCACACCGAAAACAAAGGTGACTGCGGTCCATATCTGCAGTACACCGTGCTGCAGGCTGCTACATGGCCACCCTGAAAGCAGCGGAAACATCTCACACTAATAACCTTCCTTCGGTCAGCTTTCTGGCCGCCGTCACTGGGCACCTGACCCATGCCGCAAAAAGGCCAGTCCTGTTCTGACGGACTCTTCCGACCTTCACATTGTCCGGCGAGCAACTGACCTTAGAGCAAATGGCTTGTTTGACCTCTTCTGGGGTGACTGTCTCATCCAGCCCCGAGATCATCAACTCAGTTGATTTAACAGGTCTGGAAACCCGGACTCTTCCCTCACCATAGACCTCCTTTAATCTAGACGCCAGAATATCCGCCTTCTCCTCACCACCTGTCCCGGGGACCTGAATGATGGTGGCCCCCGTGACAGCTCGTCTGAATCGGACCGCTTCTATACCAAGCTCCGCCAGATTTAGTTTTGTCTTCGCCTCTTTTAGGACTGCTACGTATGTAAGGCCTTTCTCTTCGGCATCCGGCGGAAGCGTTAAAACAACTGCTGCGGAACTGGGCGTACGGAGCTTCAGTTGTGCAGCTGTCGCCATTGCCTGTCTCTTAGGTTGTGCTGGAAGTTGTTGAGCACCTTCATTCTTCTTCCGGCGCAATCCTTTCTTTACCACCTTATTCCACGCTTCATTAGTAGAGGGAAGCTCTGGCAGTGGGCACGGTGGTGATAGAGGGGCAGCATTAGGGACAGTTGTCCCTGTAGGCACATTCTCCTGCCTTCTCTTAGGGTTCTTCTTCTTTTTCTTCTTTTTCACGCCGTCCTCCGGTTGTGTTGCCGCTGTATTCGAAGTGGGCGCTGCTGTCGTCTTTCTAACCTTGGAGGACCCCGTCGTTGTTGCCACAGCCTCCGGCTTATATTTGTCAGCGGAGAGAGGTGGTCGTATGCGAGGCTCCGGGTTGAGTCTTGGTTCTATGCTTTCTATTCTAGCATTGATCCTATCCCCAAGGCGGCTCATGAGCCTTGCCTCAAGGTCCTCTAAGTCCGGTGTAGGTACCGGTTCTGTAGGGCGTTGCTTTATTAGCTCTCGCAACTCTCCCATCTCTTTTTGGAGCGCCTCCAGAAAGTTTCGAAGCCGCTCGTTTTCACTTCGAAGAGCTCGCGTCTCATCCGAAACAGACATCTGAGCGAGTACCTCAGTGTCCTCTTTAATCGACTTAGCGACGGATTTGAGGGCGTGGACAAATGTACCCTTAAGATTTTTTGACTTAGTCGCGACTTTCTCTACCATTTGCAGATTAGCTTCGATGCGCCTCTGCGCTAGATCTGCCGTCAAAATTTCCCCTTCTGCATTCATTGCCGCTGGTGTTGGTGCGGGTTTACTCGGCTCAGTCAATGAAGCGAGGATCTCCTCCTCAGCCTGGGCTTCCTTTTCCGTTTTCTTGGCCTTTAAATAAGCAGACCTAGCAGGCGCCAAGCCCATGTACCCTCTGGATTTTGGTGGGCGGCCTCTTCCTCTTCTTGTTGTAGCAACTTTTAGTGGGGTCCGAACAGACGACTCACTGATTGTACTGTCGCCATCGTCTTCGCCACTCCTGGTTCGTTTGCGAGAACTCCAGAATCTAGGATATGTAGGGTCTGTACAATCCAATGATCTGGCGCTGACCATAGATGTCGCGGAGGAATCCGATAACCTCCCAGCATCAGACGTAGGAGCGTCGACTGGATGATCGCCAAAAATGTCCCTGGAAACGCTCGGCACCGGCGTAATACATAGAGTGCGCTCAGGCACCACGGTCACTTCTTGTAATTCTCTCAGATCCGGGTTTATTGGTTGGTCCGTGGATATCATCCTACTATCGCATGTGTCTTTTCTAATAATTTTCTCCTCGCTCGCCTCGGCAAAAGCGCCGGAATCATGAAGATTGTCCCCCCCAGAGTACGGTGGGACTTTTGCACCGGCTCTTGCGAGCAGGTGGCGGGATTTGACCCGCCTGGGGTAGTGTTACAAGTATTTGTCTTCATTTTCGCTTTAATTTTTATCCAGGTAAGACAGCTCACCCTGGGACGCCCTCGGGACCGAACTCCCCCGGCCACTCACCCCATCGCCGGGCGCCAGAAACTTGAGGTTAGGGGCTCGCCGTCAATTCGACGAGCCTCGCCAGCCTTAAAGGCCAGCCATACCACGCGCATGAAGCGCCGCTGGGGCCAGATAGAATGGCCCCCCTCTATGTCCGATTAGCTTCACCAAGGTGCTGGTTTGCACCCCAGTTACTAAGCCCTCCCCCGGCCACGTCAAGGCTCCGGACCCCGCAGGCTGGACATCTGCGGTGGGGAGGGGACAGACGTTGTCCTGTCTTAACTATGAATATTGATTTCAAATTGGTATAATTCATTAAAAAATATTTCAGAAACAAAGTGTTTATTATTCTAATGCTTTATGTTATACAACATTCTTTGTTTGTTTTTTTGGCTCGCATATTATTATATTATCAATATGATAGCTCCGATCGAAGCATTTATTTTAAACGATATTCATTTTTCTTACATCCTCTCATACGATATTTGCAGCACGCATTCTGTCAATGTTATGTCAAACGCCATAAGGTTACATCAAAAAGTTCGAATTGTATGGTGGTTAAGTATTCTTAAATTTTCTAATTTTCCGCGCAATTTTTTTCTTTTTTTCATTTATAAGAACAATTACAAACACAACAAAAAAAATCAGACAAATCGGTCAAGCCGTTTTCATGTTATGTCGTGACAACGGAAAATGGGTTTCGTTTTTATATATATAGACTTAATAAATATTTCACTAATACTATGGTAGAAAAATATAAATAAATTGCAACATAATTTGGTTTGGTCCAGGTTATCCAGATTCTTTCAAATTAAAGAAACTATAAATAAACCTGTGAATAATAATTTATAACCTCTTGGATATACTTGGACCGATATAACACCGGTTCCGACTAGCAAGTTATCGGATCGTTAAAAACCGGATGCCGGAGTAGTGGAGAAGCACGTAAGTACTGTTGTGAGTTCCTAAATAGGATCGGTAATTAACGTTTGCCGGACCGGAGCAGTGGAGATCCGGCTGCAAAATCTCTACGTTCATCGCGTAGTTAATCAAATTCACATTTTTACATACATTTATGATTAGGAGAATACATTGATAACAGGGTGCCAGTCAATAAGTGGCCGCAAGTAATTTTAATTAAATTAATGCTAATTAATTTGCCAAAAAAATTTTCGTTCACTTATTTTTTAAATAAAATACCATCCACATCATAGCAATGTTTGTAAAGAATTCGAAAATCGATGGGTGCCGTTGCACACTCGGCCGCAACTACTTCGCAGCCAGGTGTAAACAGGTAATAGTTTGGTGTATTAATACGTTCATGACGTATACGCATGTTTTTTATATTAAATTAAAGCTAATTTTTTTCAAATATGATGATATATCGCTGCCTGTGAACAAATGGCCGCAAATTAGGGTTGCGAACTGTTAAACACTCGAGGTATTCGAGATAAAGTGAAAGAGAGCGCGCAACGCCACTTGTTAAAAGAGGATGGCCTGTGTCAGCTGTGCGAGTATTTGAACTGTACCTAATACAAAAATTCGTTTGGGTTCATTTTGTGGGGTACGGTTCTGAAGGGCTTGTTGACTGACCTGCAATTCATAAGGTCAATGCAGGTATTATCCGACGCCTTTAAGGCAACTTTGAAATCGATGCGATTTTTCAAGGTCAGCGTTTGCGTGTTTCAGTCACATTCACTCTTTTTTGACTGAAACTTGTAAACAGTATTTTTAATTTTTTACCATAAAAATAATAAAATACAATGAGAACTAATTTTTAATGTGAGCCTGTCGAATCCTTATATTACCGACTTTCCATAGAAGCTATTAACGATTTTTATGAAGGTATTACCTAGGACTATAACGACCCAAGGGCTGCTAAGAATCAAATGGACGGAGCTATCTTCGCTCTATTTTGATTTTAAAAATGTATATTATACACCATAATCAATTTGTTTGGCTATACTCAGCAACTGTAAATATTATGTACAAACTGAAAGCGGGTCGTCGATGGCTGCCTTTACCTTATACAGACATGGACGCGTCGACGAGCGGCAACTACACGTGCTCGGCCCGCAACACTTTTGGCTCGGAGGAGGTGACCTACCGCGTGGAGTGCCTTCCGCCCCCGCACCCCCCGCCCTTTCTCTTCTACACGCCGACCATACCGAGGCGCAACTCGCTTGGCGCACTGCACACCATGCTACGGCGCCGCCTCACGGTCAGTCCTAATATTACTCTATTGTGACCAGAAAACACGTTACTCGATTAGTTCAAGCAAAGGAGATGTTAAGTTTCTTTAAGTTTTCGTATCGTAAAGATCGATTTATTTTTGGTTTGTTCGAAATGACACAATTATTTATTCCTCTACAACATTATACTATACTTAAATATGTATTTAAAACAATTTCCCTAGGAATTGGAAATTTTAAAAAAAATTTAATGCGTTTATAATAACAGAACTTTAAGTAGTAACAAATAAAACTATATCACATAGACTTTTAAATCGCTATTCAACTCCCTTATTAATTAAGTATTTTTTATTACATTAATTCTTCACGTTCGATTCTGCCGAGATGAGCCTTTGACCAAAACTTTTATCCCATTGCAATACGGCTTAAACCGCAGATCTGTGACATGGCAAAATATAATATAAAATTATATCAGAGAATTGTAATGTAGCACATTTGTCATCAGAAAGTATTTCGATACTCCGAATGCGGAGTCGCATATTGGAGTCTATGTTACAAGACCTTATTTATTAAGTTGCAATGCTGGATATAATAAAATCGAAACAGGGATACAGTTTTAAAAAACAATTTAAATGAGAATGTGGGGAGACGAACAGAAGCGAAAGGCCCTTCCCGCCGTTCGCGTTGGAGCGTAATTTGATTTGGCCGTCGTGCTAAAATTGTCATATTGTGTCACCTTCAACCTCCAGAATAGAACTAAATATTATGTATATTATGTTATGTAACGATGAACACAATAGTGAATGACAAGAAAAAATCAATATAAATTATTTATTATTACTACACTACACAAATAAAAACATCGAGTTAAGTTGTTGTGTAAGTGTTTTAATAAATGAAAGTCTTTGTTTGAGGCTGGGCTAATAACTAACGTAAAATTAGCGGTAGTGGGGTTGCGACGCTGGATTAACTATAATATATATAATTAACTTAAATAACATAACTCGCGAGTCGGGAGATAAATTAAATAGAGTCTAATTATGTCCTTTATCTTTTACTCTGAAAAGGTTTTACGATTTCGTGGATACGTTTGAGAGAAGATAACATAGAGTCGGAGCAGTCTCGTTCAGATATAGAAGAGAGAACGATAGAGATGGGAGGAGAGGCGAGTGGCGTGGTACTGCGATCGCTATCCTGCGGAGCCACATACTCCGTACGTGCCGTGGCGCACTCGAGAGCCGGCAGCTCTTCGCCCTCCGCGCCTCTCTTAGTGAGGACAAAACCGCCGGGTGGGTACCATCACGAATGAAGACCCAGGCGAGCCCTCGTTAAGCCGTCATAAACGGGCTGCGGCAACGTTTTTCTGGTGTAAAGTTGTGTCCATGTCACAGTGTTGGTGTGGGAGGGCGGAGGAAGCTCAGAGGAGAGCCGCGAAGGGGGCGGAAGCGGCAGTGTGGAGTAACAGCAGCGCCATTGCCGTGGATGCGCGTCGGGCCGTGCGTTGTGGGGCTCGCCTCGTGCGCATACAGTGGCGCATCGCCAGCGCCGCCTCACCCGCCCCCTGGGCCGACGCCGACCTCACGGCGTTGCATCACCGTCGAGAGGTAAGCTTTTCTCTTATGCTTTTAATTGTTTTCCGCTCATGGCCCTTAATAACACTTATGGTTCCTTAACGGATCGTGGCTGACCTGGGAATCTTAAAAGTTGGTGATTCACTTCCGTAAATTAAGTTATGTAATATGATTATTTTCGTAAAAGTATAAAGAATACATAAATAACAAAATTCCTTGGTTTCCCATGACAAATTGAGCTAAAATTTATCAGTAAATTTAACACATAACATAATCGAAAACGGTAACGTCACTCGTGTAAATCATAACAAATTCAGAATATTAGGTTACATTCGTTTACTTTTTGGATGTTCAGAAGTGGCGTATAAATATTCAAATAAATATCAACTATTTATAACAAATTTGTGCCGTGTAGTGACCTATTAAACCCAGTTGCAATCTACTAATAAAAAATTAAATATTACCTATCAGTATCAATCCTTAAATAAATTAAGTACATAGTAAAGTAAAGTCCTTTAGGTAACGAATATAATTAGCGGTTTAAATAACCAACTTATATACATTTATCTTTGAAATAAATAAGTTCACCTTTCATACGACGAAATTGGGTTTCGTTATAATATTTCGTTATTAATAAACAAATTGATGACATGATTTTTGTGATCTACACGAGTAAAGTGCAAAGTTGCGGCGTCTTTTGCCAACATATAACATATTACGTCTCTTTTTTTCGCACAAAAACGTAACTCAAAATGGCAACTTCGCATCTAAACATTTTCAATAGGAACTATATCCATTGTATGTTTACTACGTAACATTACAAGTTGTTGTTTTTAGTAAATACGAATAATTTTTTTTGAGATCAAATGGCTTATCAGATTAAATTAAAATTTAGAAAATCGTTCGACACTAATAATTTATCAGGATAACGGCATAAGCTACGATTCAGATTGTATATTTTATGTTCAAATGACCACCCTTGATGAGACAGGTGGTGATAGGCGAGTTGTCAGCGAGCACGTGGTACACGCTGCGCCTTTGGACCACCACCGATACTGCTCGTCACCAGGCTCTACTCTACGCCGCTACCACGACTCACTCAGGCGGTATACCACATTTTTATCTATTCAAGCTCACAACATCACATACAGTTTAGACTTCAGAGAAAGATAATACGAGTTACAAGCTGAGTTTGTAAATGCTTCACTCTTGTTAAATATTGTTAAATGTTGTTAATAATAAAAAGAAATTGCACATTTCAAATTTCAATGACGAGAACAACTCTACGGTATAGCATAATATAATTGAAAAAATATACACATAGCTATAATATTTAAATGTTGCCTTTAGATAAATAAGTTAGGACTAAGCTTCTAAATCCAGCTTGCCCGCTCCTAGGGATTCATGGCATCGATTCCGAGCGCTCGAATATTAGGTTTCAATGTTTTTGTTTTCGTATAACTCATTATGGATAGAAAATATATAAGTGGTGTACGACTATTGTAAACCTATCACGGGCGTGTAGCGTAGGGTTCAGATCACAGAATGTGTCTGCAGAACGTCTGCGGCGCCCGACGTCATTCTACAGCGAAGGTAACGCGGGTCGGCCGTCGCCGGGTAGCGAGCAGACGGAGCGCGTGCTAGGCGCCGTGTCTCTGGCGTTCGCCGCCCTCGCCGCTCTCGCTGTCACCACACTGCTGCTCGTCCTGCTCGCTCGCCGAAGGTAAATCAGTTTCTTCGAGATCAATTTGAAAATAATAATATATAAATAATATAAGAAACCGTAAAGGAACATATGCTAAATATAAAACTACATGATAATATTAATGCTCAGAATATGTTGTAGCTCGCTGTGGTCGTGCGGCGTGGGCGGGCGGCGGGAAGAAGGTCGGCGCTGCAGTCACTCGGGCGCCAGTACCGATAAGTCTGTTTGTGTGGAGCAGCAGAATCTACGCAACTGTCAGCACGATTACAAGCACGACAAGTTGTCTCCGGCTTCAGGTATGTATCAGAGTTATCTAAGTCTTTTATTACTAAAGGTAAAATATCTTGTTCGAAATATTTTCTTTGTTTTAAATGGCTTCTTTTTTTAATGAGACCTGAAGCAACACCTACACTCTGCGGCTTCAATCATACCCTTAATCGCGCGCACGAATATTTTCTGACTGGCCGGCAAGTCAGTACTTCGACTGGACGAAAAAGACCCTTGAGTTTGGAGAAATACCACCACCTCCCTACCTTCACAGATCATACTTTTCCTTCTGAAATTTAAATTCAATGTTCATGAGCTCATTCTCATATTCAGAAGACACCAATTTACTCCAATTTATCTTTGTCTCCTAATTTAAATACATTTCATTTATTTCTACTTTTTCTGTTTAATAATCATAATAATTATTTTAAAAAATTCGGTATAATAATAACATGTAAAATACAGAATATAGAATACGTGAACGAATACCTTAATATATATAAATTACGCGTCACGTTGTTTGTCCGCTATGGACTCCTAAACTACTTAACCGATTTCAATCAAATTTGCATACCGTGTGCAGTTTGAAATAACTTAAAAGATAGGATAGCTTACATCTTCATTCATACCCGTAATATTATTTTATTGCAAATTATTTGTTTATTATTTGACAGTCACAATTCTAACAGATGGCGCTGTGTTGAAAGTACCAACGTTTCACATAAGCTACAATTTAATGGCATAACCACCAAAAAAGCATGGTCCCCATGACTGGTGTTCTCCTACCGTTTCCCTTGAATAGTTTACTACTATGTAATATAACAAATACTTTAGCCACAGCAAAGCTTAGCCGAGTCTGGTAGTACAAATATAGAAAAGAGAGTGGAATAAGGAAAATAAAAAATTGTGGACGCAGCTGGGTACGGCAATAACAGAGATGTTTGTTGACTACGTTTACAAATTCCTATTTATAAAAGAATATAATATATATGTTATTATATAGCTATACTCGTAGTATAGCTATATATATAACTATACACAGATATTTATCTGAAATGATTATAGAATATTTATAGGAAAAAGCCGCTTTTAGTAGCCTTATAAAAATAAGAAATGGCTAATTAGTCAACAACTACATGTCGTATGGGATGTGTGTAGACGTGTACGAGATTAGCCCCTACGCGACGTTCGCGGTTGGCGGTGAGGCAGCCGAACACACTTTACAGTTCCGCACGTTTGGTCTTCGCGACAACGACGCGCCTCCGCACCGCGTCTGTCGCCACCACCAGCACGGACATCGTCAACGCTCCGACGGTAAGAAACGGCGACTACCGTTTTATAAAACATTGGGATCTACAACGTCGTTATCGGATTTGCTAACGAATTCAAACACAGGCAGACACAATACATTTTATAATGTGACAACAGATAAGCATCATTCGGACTGTGAGCTGCAGCAGCTGAGTCGATACGAGAAGGTACGGCCGCGGCCTTGCGCCGCCACCTCCTACTGCGTGCCCCTTGGACATCACGGTGAGTATTTCCAGGCCCCGCGGCCGGTGTTGTCTTTGACACACCCGTATTTATTACCCCGTGTTGCAGGCGGCGGTGGGGGCGGAAGTGGAGGGGGGTTGTCGGAGGTTTACGCGGGAGACTCGAGTGTCGAGTCTGGCCCTGGCTCCCTCTCGCCACGGACTCACCACGACCATAGCTAACGGACACAGAGAAGCTCAACGAGGAATAAATAATGTTTAGGCGTCGCAAGCGAGACTTAAATCAGAATTAAAACGAGCTCTTCGAAATTGTAATAGCTGCGGTAGCAATATTACTAGGTACCTACTGCAACTGTCAGTATCCTTAATAAATTCTTTGTAAGTGTCCTAATTTTATCACAGTAATACGCAGAGCTAGCTGAGAAATGGCTACATACACAACAATTGATTAATAAGTTTAAAAATATGCTGAGAAATACTTAGTCTGATACCCAATTAGGAATTCGGCTCTCGTCGGGGCTTCCGATTGCGGAGAGTGAAGTTTCTGTGAGAAACGAATGTTGAACTGTAACTCCCAAAGTAGGTAGTTTAATATTAATTGGAGTGAGGCGTTCGCTGCGTATTAACTCGCACACTCGGTCGGCGCCACCTTTGATTCATTTTGCAAGAGAAATTAGCAATTGATAATTGATAAGTGATATATTTAATAAATATAGCAGTGAGATGCTCAAGTTTGAAATAGGAGATACTTCAGAAATAAAAAATATATAATAACTTATATTGAATGAATGGGATCAAATCAATGTGGAAACTCGAAAGGCTACAAATTTTATTTTACGATTTGCGTCTGCATCGGGTTCATTTAGCGAGCATTGAAAATCTCGACGGCTACGAATAAATTGCAGATACTATGGAGAACTTTTTGTCGTTGTCGAACGTTTTTCGTATGTTTTACATAAAATTAATTAAGACTTGAAGAAGTAAGAAGTTATACCTACTGCACAGGAAATAGTTATTTATTTTACCTGCAGTGTAATTATTTCGATTTTATTTGATTTGAAAATAAATCCCGACGCTGCTGGTGGCAACGGAATGGTAAAGAAGGGTCGATGAAGGTTTTAACCGGATAAACTCATGAACACTATTATTATAATACATAAGTACTTATAAAAGAACAAGCATTGTTTTTACATACTTTTTAAACTCGCACTGAAACAAAGATTGATTCCTCTTACACCTTTTAAATTAATAACTAAAACTGTATTTGATAACGCCATGACGCATTTATTTATTCTGCTTAGCACTCATCATGAATGATTGTTATCAGTCATTAGTAGCTGCAGTGTCCTTGCTTAAGAGAAAAAGTATTTTTAAAAGCAGTCAACTGATTGATCAGAGAAATGATTACTATTATAAGTATTATCAATAACGCTCACGCACCTTGAAGAATATCTAACGTAAAAAAGAAATCTGATACCACAGTAAAAACAATCCATACTTGTTATCAGACTGCCGGACATATATTTATATAAGTTAACCTAATATACATAACAAAATTGAAGAATTGTAGTATTTATACTTTGCTATTTCTGACATATTTATACTTAGTAGAAACCGGTTTTGAATATCTGGTAGACTTCCTACATTGTTGTTGCTTCAAAATGGCCAGGCATTATTGACTCTTATTGTCAACTTGGTTCAAAACTCATAATATAGACTGACTGACACATTTTCAAGGTACAAGTAGCGGTACGAAACTCTAGCGCAGACCGTTATTGCGCAGAAGTAAAAAATAAGGTACCTGAGGGGGCGCGCGTAGCGTCGATTGGCTCTCCAGTCGCATTCCGTCCCCCGCGCGACAGTACACATGCGCAGTAATCCCCTCCACGTATCGGCCAGCGCTAGACTTACGTGCCGCTGCCTATACCTTTGCAGAACTCGAACCACAAAACTAATAAAGCTAAACTTTTTTTGGAAAGGGTTGATAATGAACTTCGCACGAGCGGGGCCGCGCTTAATAATATGTGTAGACTACGCTTCCGCACTGGCTAATATACAACCATGAAATAGATTAGGGATTTCTGTCAATATTTTACGATTGCGTTGAGCGCACGGGTTTATTCAGGCAAAGAAAATGTGCATTATATTTTAAATGAAATAAAGAGAGGTTATATGTTATATCGACTCCAGTACCTACGTGCTAAACACTACGTGAAGTAATTCTAATAGGTCGTGGCCAGATCATAGAAGTGCCCACTTCCTCAATTTGAGTATTTCATTTTTAAATAAATATCGTTTAACACAAACAGGTGCAATAAAAATGCATTTATGAATCTTAATAATAGTGTCCATGGTGATTCCCGATTAATCCATATCAGACAATGGTTTTCTATTGTGATCTCACGTTTTCCGTAGGTCCATTACTGGGACATGTTACTCCGTTACGGACTGACAGTTCCCTACTTGTATGGAGCTTAGACTTGTAAATATATTATTATTATTACTATGTACTACAACTAGTCAATTTTTATTAAATGTTTTTGACAATATTATTGTATTATGTAAATATTGACTATGTGATTTGTTTACTGTAGGTAATATATATAAATTGATGAACGAAAGAATTTGTTTTTATTTATTGTTTTAACCTCGTAAAACACAGACTAACAATCGATTTCCAAAAAAGCAATCTGAAATTTCAATATAAAGCTTTACTATCACTCACGAAAGATACAAATGTAGCATCCCTTAGGGCACAGTGGGAGAATTCAATATCAAATATTCGACGAGCGCCAGGCTTCGACAGAATGCTGTACAGAGAATAATATCTCAAGTTTGCGACCTATTGTTAATATTTACAGTTCGTTAGAGGTAGGTATTTTATAATTAAACTGGATAAGAGCTAATTCTTTTTTTAAACAGTTGCCGTACTACACACATTCTAACATAATATTGTATTCGTGTCATGAGGTTTGAGCCCAGGTAGGTTTGTTTCATGCCAAGTTGACGCCAGAGTTAAAACCCAGATGTTTGCTTGATGTACGATAATGAAAGCCAAATAAATGATAAATTATGAGTAAAATCTATAAGGGGGCAAATACTTTTCCTCCTAAAGACATACACAAGTAGAACCATTTACTAGTCTCGCCACCGATTGATCAGTGTTTACTAAAAACCCGTAACTGGAGCGAAGTAGAGTTCTTTGAGCGTTCTAAAGCCGCCACCCACCTCTCATCCACTCAACGACTTGCCTACAAAGCATCGTCACTGTTAAACGGAGCTGGCTTTGTACTCCTTTTTGATGTGTTAGCTACCACTTCTAAGATGTCAGCGAGAGGATTACGTGACTGACTTCCATTTGTCCTAGTGCCCTGTTTAGGCAAGACGGTGCTTCAATCATACAACATAATATTATGTCGAGCATATAATAAGTAGGTAATGTACAGTAACAGGTAACAAATACGAAGACTAAAGTTTACCTACAACTTGTAGGTACTATTATTATATAATTTTGATTATAATAATTATAAAAAAGGGTTAAACAGGCTAACCGACAATGAACTACCTGTGTAGGTAAGCAAAAACTAATCATCGGCTTTTAACGTTCGGTGTATTCCACGGAAAATATCCAATCTCCCGCTCACCCAACACCCCATGGTCAGTGTGGGGTGTGGGGTTGTGGATTCACAAGCGGGAAGTCCATTTTCTACCACCCGATGGGGAGGTGGGGGCCATACACGTTTGTTGCACAGGAAAAAGGGGCCGATAAATCGCAAATCAACTGTTCAAAGCGAAACTATGCATTTTAATTAAAACCTGTAAATTTTAATTTTGCGAATGCTGTTTCTTTGAGTTCGGAAAATCAATAATGCAGTTAGTTAAAACAGACATTGTACCACTAAGTTATCTCGTATAAATTATTGTCTAACTATGTATTATATCGTGTACCTTATAGGCCTTTACCCTTAACCGGGTACCCAACTAAAGAAACAATTATTTATTTAATATTTCAACTATAACACTAACAATACATTAATAAAACTAAATACTAACACAGCTAAAGTAATGTTATTTAAGGTTGGCAATAAAAAGGCTTTTGAATTTTGAATTTGAACCTACACAGCGACTTTGCCAGTTACTAGTTAACTAATAACTTTGGGTGTCTATTGAGAGCCAATAAAATGAACCCAATATTACAAAAGAGGGTGAATAAACTCTAATAGCAAATAAAGTAAATAAACTTTCCGATATATCTGCTAGACATCAAAATCAAAATGATAGTCAAAGCATCTTAATAAATTTTTTTAAGTACCATCAACCCTTGTCTCATTCAAATAAAAGTCTATTAAAGCCGTAAAATAAATATATTTCGTAATTACATCTAAAACAAGGCATAACAATTTTGACCTACGATTCCAATGCATGTAGAGCGAACTCGACGGAATCCGCGTGGTGAAAGCATCTTGTGCACTTCTATGTAACATGTAGCGGCGTCGACGTCGCATCAACCATGCTCCCTGGGAAACATAACTACCTGCAGTAGCCCTCGCCCTGAAGGAATAATCGGAAAGCCTCAGATATCTTATTCGGCTGCTCCTCGAGCACCATTCCACAATCCGAGATACACAGCCAAGAGGTCTTTGCTGGCTCCAAGCGGCCATTGAATGTGACGGTGTCTTCGACGTGTGGTGACAGCCCACCTGTTACATTCAGCACTGGGACTTTAAAAGTGTTACTGTCCCGCGCAATCGCTAGGTCAGAGCGACGCAGGTACGAGTCGATTAACATGGATAAGTTGACAGGGTTCATGTGAGAGAAACACTCTTTGTAGACGTGAACCAAGTCGTGGTTGCGATTGTCGGTGCTTCTCCCGAAGTGGTGCCACATGAGGTAATCCAGGGCCCCTTGGGTCATTCCGTTCGATCGTAACTGTCTCGTGTTAATCTTTTGGTACAGCCATTCGGTCCAGCCCGCCTGTGTCGACGTGCAGTTGATCAAAATCAAGGCGTCAACCCTGTGAGGGTTGTTGATTGCATAACGGGATAGCACATTCGCTCCGGCCCCGACTCCGAATCCAATGAATGACCTGATGCCGAAATGGCCGAGGACAAAGTCAATTTGAGAAGATAACTCATCCATAGTCGGATAAATGAAATCTTCGGGCAAAGTCGGGGCGTTTTCTTCTTGGCCCGGAGCGTTCACGTGGTAAATGCAAAACTGGTCCAAAATAGCCCTCATGTCAACAAAATTAAAAAATGCTTGAAAATTCGCGGCATAATTGAGGCCGAGGTCATGGTATGTGATGATGGCGCGCTTCTTGCGGTCCCCGCGGACCGCCACTAGGATGTCGCCACGCGAGGTTCTCACCCTCTCTTCTACGCATGCGCCGTCGCTTTGCAATCGGCGCTCCGATGGATAATGGAGCTGAACAGTCTTTAAATCATCATCCAGATTGTCCGAGGACATCATGTTAAGAAGGGCAATATTTTCGTGTACTGTCGTGGGCATCTTCTCGGATAAGAATCTTCAAAGGGAGCGCGACTGGCGGACTGCCGTCTTCCTTAGTAAACAATGGAGTGGTTGTGTAACAGCGACGTTACGATGACTATGTCACGAACACAATTATTACTTATTAGCGCAAAACATCAGGTACAGCTGACAAATAGGATCGTCCAAAGCGCATCTCTCGTTGCACAATTTAATATTTACGTTGCTAAGTAAAACAGCGTAGGCAGCGTCACACTCGTTAATTAATCACTGGGTAATATGCGTTTCACTGAGCCAACTACACGAATTGTTGTGTTTTGCTTAAGTAAAGCTAAATATTGTATACGGCGGCCTTTAACACTGGAAATATCGCAATGGAAACGGTCAATAAAATGCCGTCTAGGCGAGCGTGTACCCCTGTACGTGATCGACTCGGCACTGCTCGGTTCAACTCGTAAGTTGTCGGCCATGTCGATTGTCGCACAGTACGACTTACGAGCAAGGTCATTCGACGTCAACTTCACTCCGGTCCGTGTTTAAGCCCGCGCATGTCAAACAGGATGCACCGACCATTATTATTCAATTGGTTCACTAATATACTATAATAATATAATATTGGCTTACAAATTTTTCAATGTTTTGCTTAATTCAATAGTGTCATGTATATTATGTTTGTAACATGTTTAAAACTGTAGCACGTCAGTGCCTCAGGTCAAATGCAATTTCTTTAAGTCCCGTTGCACCAAATGAGAAGTATGTGAACGTAAACGTGGAATTGATTAGGCATCAATAATTATAAGCTAGTTAAAGGCCCATTACTGATAACGAGGGGAAAATTTAATATACATTAAAATTATGCTATTTTTAAAAAAGTAAGACAAACTCAAAAATCCTTAGTTGTTTGAGTTTTGCTATGTATATTGTATATGTTTTACTAATTAGTCTATATAAAATATCAATTTTCAATCGTATTTCGCGGTTATTTTATTAATAATATGTGTTGATGCATAGCGCCTGAATACTATTGAGTAGCAACTACTACAGATGTCTTAACTGCTACAAACAGAACAAGGCGTGTTTTAGCTTTTAGTATTGATTATTCCATTCCGATTACACCTCTGATCAAGGAAACATCTTGTTTGATTTATAATCCTTTTTTCAAGAAAAGAAATTACTTTTAACTTTATACTATCCTGCGTTAACATTGGTCCTTTGAGCACGGATAATAACAATAGAAATAAGGAATTAATTAATTACTTCAATCAAGGTCAGTGGAGGTTATCAAGAAGAAAAAAGGATTTGTACAGGAGTGTGTCGTGAGTCGGTATAGTTTTTTCGGGTTGGGTGTTGAATACCACCGCACTTTTTTGACGATACTAATTATCTAGGAGTGTCGGGGGACCTTCATTGGAACACCTCCAAGTGAGTTTTGCTACAGGAAACGCGTCTAAGTATTTAAAAAAAAATTTAAAGTTTTGTGCAATGTATTGAAATTTGTAAACAATCCGCCATTTTCTACTTTTCTATTGGTTATAAGAGATGTGACGTTCACTTTAAAAAATCGTTTTTTAATTTATCGATTGTTACTAATCGTTTTATTTATTTATCGATTATTTCCTCATTTTTGAAATTTAAAGTTATAGAATAATCAACATTGAAATTAACCTAATTTCGTGTTGATAGATTATAGGGATCCGAAAATTTTTGAAATTATCGATACCTACTCGTCTGTATTTCCTAATTAGTACTTGTATTTCATTGTTTGCAACTTTCTATATTATTTAATTTTTACTAGAATAAAGTGTTTACTTTAATATCCAAAAAGTACCCAAAACCGAATCAGAGCACCCCACTATCTACGTGGTCTTGTCTGTCTTACCCCTAGAGTGTATATAAATAATCGGAGGCGCGGAGGATATATAATGCCTGTGCTTTGGTACGTAAGGGTGGAGGGGCTGCATTTCCCGTAGCGCCGGAGCTGTCCAAAAAAACAAATATTATTTAGATCGGTTAGGTTAGGTTAGTATATGAATATTTGGTCGCCGAAGGCGACCAAAAGCCGGGTTGGGGGGGCTTGAATAAACAATTATTATTTAGATCGGAGCTGTCCAAAAAAACAAATATTATTTAGATCGGTTAGGTTAGGTTAGTATATGAATATTTGGTCGCCGAAGGTGACCAAGAAGCCGGGTTGGGGGGCTTGAATAAACAATTATTATTTAGATCGGTTAGGTTAGGTTAGTATATGAATATTTGGTCGCCAAAGGCGACCAAAAAGCCGGGTTGGGGGGGCTTGAATAAACAATTATTATTTAGATCGGAGCTGTCCAAAAAAACAAATATTATTTAGATCGGTTAGGTTAGGTTAGTATATGAATATTTGGTCGCCGAAGGCGACCAAGAAGCCGGGTTGGGGAGGCTTGAATAAACAATTATTATTTAGATCGGATCCAAAAAAACAAATATTATTTAGATCGGTTAGGTTAGGTTAGTATATGAATATTTATTTTTAAAATAACTGTTCAACTGAAACTGATCAACTATGATTGATTTTCAATTATTTTTAATATTAAAATCGAATACAAAAATCGATTTTCACTTTTAAAGAAATCAATTATTTTTCACATCCCTATTAATTTTATAAACGTTACTTAAAAAACGATTATTAACAATCGATTAATTAAAAAACGATTTTTTAAAGTGAATGTCACATCTCTTATAACCTATAGAAACGTAGAAAATGGCGGATTGTTTACAAATTTCAATACATTTCACAAAACTTTAAATTTTTATTAAAAATACTTAGACGCGTTTCCTGGAACAAAAATCACTTGGAGGTGTTCCAATGAAGGTCCCCGAGACTCCTGCATAGTTAGTATCATCAAATAAATGCGACGACATTCAAAACTGTTACCGTTTTTTCTTATGTTATTTAAATTTTAAATTTAATTTTAAAGATTTAGTAACCTGATTTAATTATTGTTAATTATAAAGTGATTTGTGTTAATTATTATAGTTGTATATTATAATTATTTTTAATAAAATTGTAGGTGTCACGTTTTGAATGCTGCTACCTACTACTTTTGTTCAAAAAATATAATTATTTTAGTGTTTTGAAGTAGATAATTTAATTCTGTTTTATTTTGGTTGTGTGTGTAAGTTTTTTTTTAATTATATACCTAAGAATATTGACGATAGTTCCAGGATTTAACTGCTGGCTCTGCAAACATGTCTGAAAAAACCGAAGTAGCTGAACTTATTAAAAAGCGCAGCAGTTATAAGGGTCAAGTTACCATTTTCAACGGGTTTTTATCTTCATTTGAATCGCCATCACCTCCCGATGAAAGGGATTATGAGGAGTTGGAGTTGCGCATTAAGAGGTTTGATGTATTGTATAATAAGTTCGATGAGGTGCAAACACGGTTAGAATGTTTACAGGACGATGAGAGTCAGGTGTTTGAGGAGCGTGAGGAATTTGAAAATAGATATTATAAGGCATTAAGTAATGCTCAGAAAATTCTTTCAAATTATAAAAAATCTCACATTCCTCTTCCATCTGATGGCGAAGGTAGTGTCATACATAGTGTTAAACTGAATCCTGTCAAATTGCCCACGATTCAAATACCGAAATTTAATGGTTTGATAAATAATTGGTTGGAGTTTAGGGACACTTTTACCAGTCTTATTCATGGTAATAATGAAATTGATGACATAAATAAATTTCATTATTTGAGGTCATCGTTAGACGGGTCAGCTGCTGTTGTTATTTCGTCGATCGAATTTTCTTCGTATAATTATAACACAGCGTGGAAGTTACTTTGTGACCGGTTTGATAACAAGCGTTTATTAATACAACATCATGTTACTGCGTTATTTAATATTGAATCGGTTACTAGGGAAACGGCGTCTTGTTTAAAAACTATTATGGACCTGTTAAATAAAAATCTCAGAGCATTGGATTCACTGGGCGAGCCCACAAAGCATTGGGACACTTTACTCATTCACATAATTACTCATAAGTTAGATAGTAAAACTTATCGTGAGTGGGAAGAGTATAAAGGTCGTTTAAGTAATGAAACGCGAATTGAGCTTCAACATTTCCTAGATTTCATGCGAGCTCATATTAATTTGCTTGATACACTTGAGTTTTCACGTCAGTCACACCAAAATAGTTGTAGTAGTGGTAGTAGTAGTTGTTATAAAAATTCAAAAGTTAAGGCTATGGTTACAACACAAACCAATCACAAGAACTTAAATTATATTAACGTTAAAGAGATTTGTCCTAAATGTAATGGCGAGCATAAACTGAACATGTGTTCTCAGTTTTTAGCCTTAAATAACGAAGAGCGTCTTCAATTATTGCCAACATTTAAGGTTTGTTTTAATTGTTTCTCCAAATCTCATTTTTCAAATAATTGCAAAAAATCAGGTTGCAAAATATGTAAGAAAAAACATTCAGTTTTAGTTCACGTTGCAGATAAGCAGAAGCTGTTAGTGCGTGGTGAGGGTATTGGTTCTAATGCTACTCCCGCCATCAGTAATCCGGATAACTTGACATTATCAACCAGCGTTTCTTCCGCCGGTCAAGACAATAATTGTCGCCGCGGAAATTTGGTTTTATTATCCACTGCGCTAGTCAAGTTATACGATTCAAACAATCGCGAACACGTCGTTCGTGTTGTATTAGATTCTGGTAGCACATCTAGCCTTTTATCGTACAGGATGTTTCAACAGTTAAATCTGTCGTATAATAAAATAAGTCAATCCGTTCAGGGTATTAATAATGCAATTACCCAAATCGATAAAATGTGTAATCTGCGTTTTAAGTCATTGGATGACTCATTTACGTGTAACATTAATTGTTTTATTTTACCATCATTAACTAATACTGTACCAAACAGTACAGTTAATATATTAAATTTAAATATTCCTACGAATATTTGTTTAGCGGATCCTCATTTTTATAAACCCGCGTCCATCGACCTTATATTAGGCGCTGATGTCTTTTGGGATATAGTAGGAAACCAAAGAATTGAGTTAGGTGATAACAAACCTACTCTTTGTGAAACAAGGTTAGGTTGGATAGTTTCTGGTCCATTAAATAATTCATTTTTCTCATCATATCCACTTAAACCTATTCAGTGTAATTATTTAAATAATAATTTCAATGATGATATAATTTTAAATCAAAGTATTCAAAATCAACTTTCAAAATTTTGGCATTTAGAAGAAATAAATAGTTCAATTTGTTCTAGTTACTCATCAGAACAAAAGTCATGTGAAGAACATTTTGTGGAAAATACTACTCGCTTGTCAGACGGTCGTTTTTGCGTTAGAATTCCACTAAAGGAAAGTCCTACTATCTTAGGTGATTCATTTCAGCGAGCTAAACAATGTTTTTACTCTTTAGAACGTAGACTTCGGACAAACCCAAAACTTTATGATATGTATCGCGATTTCATGACTGAAT